TTGTAGGCAGTAGTTCCCAGACCCTCCATGCAGAACTCTACTAGATTTTAGCACTTCACTTTCTCTTAAGTTCTTACTGAAACAGCTGAATGATTATTGGTTACACGTCTGTCAATCATCTTTAACAAAATGTTGACGTGTGTATTAAAGTCATGCTGCCCAGGTTAAATGATCACTCCTGTAAAACATTGCGGAGAAACAGTGCACCCTTATGGGTGTGAATAAAATCTGCCTCATGTCAGGCCAGCTGTCTGATTGAGTCATCCACAAAGTGGTTTATTGTTTGTCGTTCTGGTGGTGTCTCCTGTGGTGTTGGTTTTTGTTAAAGACGGAGAGTTTGTGCAGCACTGTGCTTCACTGGCAGCACAGAAATACACGGCGCTCTCTGATCCACTCAGCTTCAGGAGAATCAGACTTGACTGATTTTTACCATCACCACTCACATTATACAAGCCTTTGAATTGATCTTCTACAGTTGCAGAAGAGTAACGTACATATCCAAGCAGAGCCATGTCATGTTTCCCTTTAGACTGTTTATACCACTGGATCATTTCAAAGTTACTGTTTGAGTGGTTGCAGGTCAACTGGACTTTTTCTCCAGGGTGTATGACCAGCGCTGCAGGCTTCTGATCAACATGGCTCTTTGAGAGTTCTGAAAGAGACATTTAAAAAGAAGCAGCTTTAGCATTAAAAATAAACCTCAGTGAAAATATTATAGTCCAGTTTTCACAAGTTTGCTCTTATATTACCTGTTAAACAGAACGTCAGAGCTAATATGAGGAGTCTGAACATGATCCTGACACTGATGAAAACTTCAGAAGAAAGATGTCAGTGAACTGGCTGCATGTAAAGGAGGAGCAGCACGGGGAGGAGGAGGGGGAGGGGTCGACACAATGAGCCACCACGTGTCTTTAAAAGGGGATTTGTTCTTGTTTTGTTGTCACAGTTTTGATTCCTTTATTAAAAAATATCTAAAACAGGACTAGAAAACGGCCGTGCCTCCCTGAAGTAATCTTTGTGTCAACATGTTGCCTCCTCAGAGTTGATGGTCTAACAGTAACATTATAATGAGAATGGGTGCGTTTACATGGAAGGTCGTGGGTTTGATCCCTAGCTTCTGTAGCCACATGTCCGATGTGTCCTAGGGCAAGACACACAAAGTTGCTCCCACTGCTTCGTCGTTGGTGTGTGAATGTGTTTGGATGTGATTGGTTACATCTGATGGTCAGCAGCCTCTGCTATGAACTTGAATATCCAGGTTTTGATCAGATTTTTTTAAGTATACTGTTTTTTGTGTTTGTGCATGTAAACATCAGATCCTGATTTCAGGAACTGTGGATAAGCCCTTAACCGGATTTTAAGAAAGCCGGTTTTCCACCTGGAGAACTCAGAAAGAAACACACTGTGTCATCGTCTAACCCCGGTTTCTGACAGCTACCTACTACCTGCGCAGGCGCGGCCTCAGCCAAGTGACATATCAGCAAAACAAACATGGCGGTGGCAATGAGAGCGTCTCACTTCTGGAGAAGTGAGAGACTTCATTTTTGTCTTTCAGTAATAAAAGAATGAAATATGAATCAAAACGCTGAGTTTAAATTCTGTGGTGAGCAGGCTACAGGACGCAGTTGCGCCCTTGTCCTACGCGGTGGCAGAGACAGGCTGACACCGAGGTGACGAGGACATGTTTCATCTTTCCCAAATCAAGTTCAAAGAATCATTACAGTATCAGAAAGATCGACTGAAAACACGAGCCCGCAGACAGGGGAGCTAAAAAAAACACTATTTATTTATTGGCCTTTGAGAATTGCGCAGCAGTTTTTGGTTTGTTGGGGGGGGGGGGGGGTAATGGAACTGATAACTTTTACTATTTTTAAATACCGTGGGATACCTTATAACTGTATTACCACCCGAGCCGACATGTTTCCTGCCACAGCCTACGTGAGAGGAGTGAGATGCAGGTGTATCCCTCTTCTTATCTGTGAGTTCATTAGCTGATGATCACTGAGGGTTTTTGTAGAGAGGAGGAGGAGGTCGAGTTACTGTGTGTACTAGCTGCACAGTAATACATGCCGCTGTCTTCTGCCTGTCTGAGTTTCACTACATGAAGTTGTGATTTCTTCGAGCCATCTCCAGACACATTGAAACGTTCTTGGAATTTATCTTCAACGACTGCATTTGTGTACTGAATATATCCAATGAGGTTAAGGCTGGAGTTGCCTGTGGGCTGCTGGTACCACAGTATGACATAAATGAACTTATAGTATGGCTGCAGCTGATAGTTGTTGAACCATCAGGACTTCCAAATATCGATGGAGGCTCTTGTTTGACGTCTTTGGCCTGTGACTGACCTGGATTCAGAGAGAAAAACTTTATAAGACAGAAGTGATGACACAGAATAATAATTATCAAACAGATTGAATATAAACCTACAGGAGATGCAGAGAAGCCACAGAATGATCCGGATCATTGTTCCTCCTCTCTGTGTCTGGTTTCAGCGACAGACTGAACTGACCTGAGAGGGGAGGAGTCAGGGGGGGTAACAGAGAGAATCACTCCCATGATTCCCCACCAACTTCATCTGTCTGTTATTGTTTTGATTAAGAGCCCCCTGGTGGTAGAATTGACATACTGTGCGTTTAAAACACTAAAACATACTAATGTCACTTTGCCTGATATTTATTAAATATTTGTTTTAAATGTGTTAAAAAGAGATTTTTATCTTTTTAAGTTTATTTTCAGGATGCGGTGATCTACTGTGAGATCTGAAATCACAGTTAATATAGAATACATGTGTCAATTTAAATAGATCATCGTTATACCACTAGTGAGCAGTCACATGTGTGAGGCTATACAAAGTTATTTAACCACTGAACATTCACCACCACCAACACATTCACAATAAAATGTTACGTAACCCGAGGCTTTCCTCGGTCAGCTTCGAGCACTCGGCCGCTACGATAAGGACTACAGCCGCCGTACACGGGTGGGCGACATAACTGCTCGGCTACCCAGCGCCTCGGAAACTTTGATTTTAAAGGGCTGCTTAGGCAAACTCAAGAAGATTTAATTTAAAACAAATTGAAACATGATTGGAAACTTAATATGAAATGACTTGAGCTCTGAATTGGATTCTTCACATTTCAAGGACATAAATTCATAATATGATCGATACTCTGTCATTGCACATTTTCTGGGACACTGATGGCTGTGAAAGAACTATTGTGCACCCAGAGCTCCCCCTATAGATAATCAAACACTGATGTCTTTAATACATGTATTCATCAGTGGGGTATTTGTACAGCTGTCAGAGTCACCTGCTTCACTGTGTTCACTCACAGCACAAAAATACACTCCACTGTCTGCAGGCAGCAGCTTCTCCACAGTCAAAGATCCAGTCGAGAAGTTGTCCTTCTTTGCAGGAAACTTGTCCTCACTGAAGTCAGACCAGTACTGAGGAGGGACAGATGGTCTCGTCAAAACGATTTGTTGCATTGTCTCTCCTGGCAGCTGTCTGTACCAGTACATCTGGAAATAAGTAGCACCTTTAGTGTGCTCACAGGTCATTGTGGCAGACTGACCCTCGTCCCCCCACAGCACAGCGGCCTGTTTCACATCACTCCCGTCGATTACACCTGTGGAGGGGGAAAACAACATGTCAAAATGAAGGTCCTCTGTGTGATCAACAGTAAGTCCTCAGCCTCATAACGTAGAGTACCTGTGATGCAGAGCAGAGCTGCAGAGAGCTTGATCAGAACAGCTGTGATCATTGTTGTGTTCAGAGCTGAATGATCTGAGAGAGAAGAGTCTCTGACAGTCTGTGAGGTGGGAGGTGTGAGCCTAGAGACCAAAGATGGCAGCACCTACAATCAGCTGTCACTCATGGGAGTGTCACTCCATTAGGTGAACCGGTCCAAAGTTACTACTCATTATGAAAAAAAAACCCTGATTCTGATGACATTCAATTCAGGAGCCTGCGATCAATCTGAATCCTTTTTCACACTCCTGCTGAATATTTCCAGAAAATAGAGAGTCCGCCCCTGAAATCCTCTGGGTTTCCTGTTCACATACATGCACTTCACAGCAAGAGATTCTCCCTGTCTGACGAGGGGTAACGTGAGGAGGCAGGACATGACGTTTGAAAGACGCAAAAATGGTGTACGAAGCGTCAGAGCCTGATGATATGACGACGTTTGTATCTTTATATCAATGCTGCGTTTAATTGGACGTATTCATAGTGTAATGGTAATTTTCCAATTTTTTCCTTTGCTCCAATTATTGCCATTAATACACAGGTAGGGGTGAAGTCTTACGCAGATGCAAACAATGATTTTCCAGCCGTTATTAAAGTTGAGTTTATTAAAGTGACTTGATGGAGATATGAGAACAAAAAACATACCATTTCCAGTGAAGCGTAGCCAGTAGAATGAATGAATTGTAGTTGGTCTGAGTGCTGGTCTGAAACATGAATGCCGGTCGGTTGAGAACTGTCTTTGCTCCCCGTACCTGTGCCTTCCCTTTCCTGTCACCTGTGCTACTATATATATACACCCCTGTGCATTCAGTGTCCCTAGTGGAAAATAATATATTCAGATAAATCTAATTATAAAACATGCCAATGATAAACACAAAATGGCTCCTACACATAGTATCAGAAAACAGTGTGACTGGTTGTTTGACCTGAACGTCAGAGATCACATGTTATATCCTGAATAATATCCGATGCTTTCATATATGGACGTGACCAGACTTCACACGGACATTTTAGTAGGGGGCTTGCAGGATGAAGTTGGCTGTCGGCGTTCACACATGCAGGTCACTCAGAACATTTCAGGAATGTTTGTGCACGTGTTGAAACACCTTTATCGACACATCATCATGAACAAAATTTACAGTTTCATTTATTTCAACTCACAAAAAAATCCAAAAACAGGAATCAGATAATTTCATAACGAGACTCTCTGACATTAAAATGGAAAAAAAAACAGACTCTGTTGTGTTCATTATGAAGCGCTGCATTTTATATCTTTGATTTAAAAACTTGTGTTAGCAACAAGGTCATGTTTTTTTAGGTGCATTGAGTTACTGACAGAACTCAACTGTGCAGAAAGCATGGAAACACCCCTTTGCATAACATTTATTTTTACACATCCACACCAACATCCCGGGTTCCTCTTCAGCCCAATAACTCAGGAAAGTCTGGAGAACCTTTAGATTTGTTTCATATGTCAACTTTGACTCGAGGATATAATAATGATTAATAATTTGGTGACCTGTGATCTCTCAGAAAATGGTTTGGACATAACAGAAATCAGAAGCTTATTGAGATACGTTTCACACAAAAGGTCTTAGTATAAAATGATTAAATGACGTCAATCTTAACCAGGAAGTTTCACTTTGTTGTGACGTCATTGTTCGTTTCTCAGTTCACCTGCTGTCAGTACTTGTCCTCAGACGAGGTACAAACTGAGTGAGAGGTTGATAAAACCTCAAAGATGGTGGTTCAGATCTTTGTGTGGACTGCAGGTGTCGATGAGCCTGAACGTGTTGTGAGTCTGCAGACAGAGAAAGGGGAGTTCTTGTACTGACTGCACACAAATCTGCAGCACTGTGTCGACTAGCAGCACAGAAATAAACGCCACTGTCAGTTAAGGAAAGGTTAGAAACAGAGAGGCTCGACTTTTCCCGTCCATCTCCGTCAAAGTTGATCTTTCCTTTCACGTCCGGCTCCAGATTCACATGCTGAACATTGAGAACTCCCAGAAGCTTCAGCGCTCTGTGTGCGTCTTGTTTGTACCAGAGAATACGATCATAATTTGTTATATTGTGGGAACATTTGATTTCTCCGGTCACTGATTCGTTGATCCTCTTAAAGATGGAAGGAGGTGTTTGGTTGACATCGTTGGAATGAGAGACACCTGTGGAGTTAAAACACATTTTAGATACTGAAGACGTTTACTGTGCAGCTTTTTACTTCCTTTACTTTGTTTGCATGCTTCCTCACCTTTAACACTCGGATGATGACTGAAGCAAATAATGAACAGTATTAACATCATGTTGTTTCCTCAAGTCTGTTTAGTCTGTGTGAGAGCATCAGAGCACCTCACTGTGACGGAGAGGAACGGGGGGCGTTGTCAGAAACCTTCACAGCTAACTGTCTCAGCAGGAGTCACACTGTTGATGTTTCCTCAGCAGAAGGCGTTCCAGTGTTTGGCTTGTTAAAGTATGTCTCCCTCTGCTGGTGTTAAAACGAAACTGCGGTTGCTTTCAGTGAGCAAAGGATGTGTGACGCTGAATCAGAGTGGGGCTGAACGATGTTGGATCAAAAGTTATATTGCAATATATTTAATTTCTGCTGTCAGTGTTTCCTCCATGTTGATAACTTTTGCCTCTTCTTCCTGCAGGTTCAGTCTTTCCTGAATCGTCTCCGTCCGGCCTGTTGGCATGCTCGTCAGCACGCTCAGCTGACAGCCTCGATTAGCCACTTCAGATCATCTCCATTTTCAATAAATACCTGCCTGCCCTACTACCTGTCTGTGTCTGGGTCCCTTAACACACATGTTACATCATTCAGTCCCGTTAATCTACATCACTCAACACGTGCTTCAGATGAGTCTTCAGGATATTAATGCTCCACATGTATCAGCCACAGTCCAGCTCATTACTGTGGATGTACTACAATGATAGACTGTATATTTAAACGGACAAAGCCTGAGTGAGGTCACCCATCTGTTCCTGCAGGGGGCGCTGGAGTCCCATCGATGGCGGTCTCCAAGCTGGAAATGCTGTCTCAGTCTAAAAGTGTATGAACACCTTGTCAAGCAGCAAGTTAAATAAAACGTTATAACTGGAACCTGTGACTCCTGCTTTATTTAACCAGTCACACCAGTGGTGGTTGGATTTTTCCGGAACCCAAGTTTTGAGAGAAGCCTCAGTCAGCTGATCTTTCTTTTAAAACCGACCTTTTATATTTGTTAAGCACCAGTTGTTTTAAGCAAAAATTTTAATCTGGAAAGTGAACTACACATTCTTATTTCCATGGCATAAGTATTCCACAAATTAACTTTTACCGAAATACACCTGTTCTTTGTGTTTGTCCTTTATTTTTTGTGCCTTTGTTAGAGAGACAGGACAGTGGATAGAGACGGAAATCAGAGAGAGAGAGAGGATCCACATGCGGGAAGGGAGCCACAGGTTGGATTTGAACCTTGGCCGCCCACTTGGAGGACTACAGCCTCCACACATTGGACACCAGCGCCCCACACACACACTATTGTTTTCTGATATGATGGTTTTAGAAGCGTCAGGAGACGTTTAGAATGACGTCATATAGCGGTCCACTTCCTTGTTTGAGCGGTTGTGTTGACATCTCTCGCAGACCGTTTTCAAGCACACATGAATCCTACCTGAGACCACCTCTTCAAGCAGACTCGGGCACACTACCCGATACAGTCCAAGTACAGATAAATAAGAGTGTGTTGTTGTTTGAATCAGAGGAACCAGTCAGATGAATCAGGACAAACTGTATCAGCTGTGATGTTACCTACCGTGTAAAGAACCCTCACTGAGGCGGAGGGATACACATTGTGAAAAGTCCCACCTATATCTCATGGATCTTGTCCAATCAGGATGCTCTGTGGGAACTAACAGTTGTCTGATCACATTCTTCTTCTCTATCTGACATTAAAACTGTTTCTGATTTCAGGAAAATCTCGACCGCAGTAAGAATTCCCTCGAGGACTTGCGTCATGAAAGAGCTCTGATTTCTAAGGCAGGTGTCTCGTTGACGTCCTGAGAAGTTCTGCTGTGTATTCAATGAGCTGCTGCTGCTGCTGCTGCTGTTGTTTCTGATGCTAATAATTCTGTGTGTCACGCAGGCCTGTACGGATTTACTGCTGCACAACGAAACCAAGCAAAGAGGTGTGGGCGTGTCCATCCAGGTGCTCTGAAGAACCCTCTGGAAACAGTCTGAAATGAAAACACTGAATCAAAGAACTGAATCATTCACACTCACCTTCATAAACACATCAGAGTTTTTCATTCTCCTATTCTCATTTAATACAAATGTGGAGCTGCAGTTCCTCAAATCTCCACTAGAGGCTGGGTCCAAAAGTGAGTCAGTCCCTGCTCATCCCATCACAAAAGTTGAATGAATACATTACTGTGCAGCACCTGTGAAACATGGAGGGAGTTCCTCTTTCATACTCTGGGCTCACACTGCCCTCTAGAGGCAGAAATGAGAAACTACAGAGTCAGAGAAGTTCAGAAAGGTTCTCCTGCTGACTCAAACAGTGAAACACATAAAAAACATTAAAACATTTTATTTAAAACTGAAAGTACTTCAGCCGGTGTGAACGCTGCACTCTGTCTCTAACGATCCTCCAGAGAGATTATTTACATGTGTGTGTCTGTATATCATTTAGGATTTAGATTTAAAAAACACAGATATGAATGTGATTTTAAAGAAGCATGACTAAATGTTTGGTTATCACTTCTATCTGAACCACTTCTCGCTCCCGCTTCCATACTGAAGCTTCAGTGTCCACCACATGACAACCTGTGTGAGCATCGATTCTAGAGAGGAGGGGGGAACAGCTCTTTATCATGTTTAGAATCTGAACTGCAGTACCGGTTTTAAACACTAGGTGTCAGAGTTACAGACTGCTCCTTTGAAGAAGATCAAATGCAAAAATCCCAGAATGAAAAAGAACTTGAATATCGGACTCAGTGTTTCTTAATCTGCTGGTTAATGTAGACGAAGCTTAAAGATCTTTTTGATCCATAATTCATTTTAAAAAAAAGAGTTTGCAGGAGGAGATATAATTATGTAGCTCACAGATGTTAGACCGCACACACACACACACACACACACACACACACACACACACACACACACACACACACACACACACACACACACACACACACACACACACGCTTTCCTCTTTATGTGACACCAGCAAGCACAAACATGTTTTTTTTAAAAGAGACTGAAGGTAGAAAGTAGAAACTAAAGAGTCTCTTTACTGATCAAATATCTACAGAAACTTGAAATTAATTTAAGCATTCACAGAGAGGATAGATAAAGATATGACGTTAAGTTTTGTGTTATTTATCCATATTTTCTTTATTGATGTAAATATTTAGACCCTCATCACATCAGATGGTGAACAGCTGTGAGGGAGCTTTAGGACTCTTTTCATGGTGTAGCTTCAGTTGACACAGAAATGGAAGTTTAGCAGCTGCTAGGTCAGAGACGTGTGTGTGTGTGTGTGTGTGTGTGTGTGTGTGTGTGTGTGTGTGTGTGTGTGTGTGTGTGTGTGTGTGTGTGTGTGTGTGTGTGTGTGTGTGTGTGTGTGATAGAGGGACCATCTCCCACCTTTTTTTTTTTCAGGGTTTTAAACGATATATTTGTCACTACCCACGAGTCCTTTACGTTGGGATGGATGTTAATAAATGCCTCCACTAGAGGGCGTGATCTCTCTTTTTGGCCTTAGTGCTCTATCGTGCACTTGAGAGGCTGAGCACGTTCACGACTTTGGTGGTCATGATTTTTTTTTAGAAGTTTCTGCTTGGAAGTTAGGCTTCATAAATCCTCTGTATGGCCTGGAAGAGCATCACAACAAAGATGAACACAGACAGAGTTAATGTAAAGATATGTGCTTCTGTACGGATCACTTTGTGCTCCTGTCTTTAAAATAATCTACAAATGAAGTTGTATTTTATTATTGAATGCAGGACTTTCTCTTTTAGTGAGGTTGGTTTTTAACCTGACTGTCCGCTGTGTTTCAGGTTTACCCAGCATTCAGACGGGACGTTGATAATCGGCCCTCTGAGGTCCGATGACTCGGGCGTCTTCACCTGCACGGCGTCCAGCCAGCAGCAGCTGGAGCAGAGACAGCTGCAGCTCAAAGTGCAAGGTCAGTTTGAATCCTTCAAATACACTCAAAACATGCAGTGGATGAAACGCTGTTTAGTCAGCGTTGAAGTCCAGGACTCAGAAGAAGGAGAGCTCACCTGTACGAGCGTTAATGTGTCGTCTTGTTCAGCAGCAGTTTGTGTGTCGTCATGGTGATGTGAAGATTTCAGTCCTATCACTGTGGATTTGACAAAAAGAATCATAAAATGTCAAATATAAGTTCTGATGTATAACAGGCTGGTTACAGGGATCTTTAAGTTTATCAGACGCCTGCAGCAGAAACACTCGGGGCGTCTCCTCGTTACTGAGCGGTGCACATTTAAACTCGACGCACAGCGCTGTAACTTTAATAATAATTTAAAACTCCAGTCACGCTGACGGGATCGTTCAGAGTCTGACGTTAATAAATGAAAAGTTTCCCACACGGTCAGTGGAGGTTCAGACGGTCAAACAGCTCTTCTTTATCAACCCTGAACTCCATCAGAGCTGAGATCAACTTTTTATTTATGATGATCATAGACTTCCAGAGTACAGAGAGGTTAAAGGCTTTATATGTGATGTTTTGATCCAGCAGATGTCGCCCTTGAGCACCAGCATGAAACCAAAACAGCTCGCGCTGCAT